GAATCTTAAGTTGAATCTGTATGTAAGTCAGAACTGGCGGTCAGTTTCAGCAGCGGCTGAATCTGGACGCCAGTTCCGACTTACATACCGACTTACATACAGATTCAACTTAAGAACAAACCTACAGTCCCTATCTTGTACGTAACCCGGGGACTGCCTGTATAGTTAAAAACAATGATGTTCCTTAAAAGAGGTATATTCTACAAAAATGTATAACAAACCTAGCATAATATCACAAGAATCATTAACGAAGAAAGAATTACCCAGCCTTTAGTAAGGTATAGCTGAACTAGTCAAATTCTTTAAAGAAAGAGGTGGTTGTCTTCAACAAAATGTTGATTTGTTGAGAGAAATCTCTACCTGAAATATTTTTAAATTTCTGTTTTGAAACTTTTGGGGGAAGCAGGATAGGAAGAGTGGCTTTTCCTGTCAAAAGAAAAATGACTTCAAAATTATGTATATATGTTTTCCCTATGAAATATACTTTTTGGTAGCTCCTGTATGTCCTGTTTTTCTTGACATGTCTAATTCCCTAAATCCTAATAATCTGGTGATGGGCAAATCTGGAGAGCTCCATTGTAGCATTCACTGAGGAGAATTTAAAACTGTTTAGCTTCTACTTCTCACTAGTTGTGATGTATAATGTGTATTACATTTTTTCTCCCCAAGATTGATCTTGTGTTTGCAAGGCTGGCTGTACAGACTATTTCTGATAAGTTGGATCTTCGAGATGATTCACGTCTAAGAAGCTTGGATATAAGGTGTATACGAAGCTTAAATGGTAATTCCCTTTAATCTTAAAGCTGATAGACCATTTTCTTATCCCACGTGAATAATAGCTATTTCTAATTCAACCGTGTCTTACAAACTTGGAATAAGCAGTTTGTACAAAAAAGACAATTACTCTTATTACATATCATAGGACTTGAAGGGACCTCGAGAGGTCATCGAGTCCAGCCCCCCCCCACCCTCAAGGCAGGATCAAGCTCCGTCTACACCAACCCTGACAGATGTCTATCTAACCTGTTCTTAAATATCTCCAGAGAGGGAGATTCCACCACCTCCCTTGGCAATTTATTCCAATATTTGACCACCCTGACAGTTAGGAATTTTTTCCTAATGTCCAATCTAAACCTCCCTTGCTGCACTTTAAGCCCATTACTCCATGTCCTGTCCTCAGAAACCAAGAGGAACAAATTTTCACCTTCCTCCTTGTGACACCCTTTTAGATATTTGAAAACCGCTATCATGTCCCCCCTTAATCTTCTTTTTTCCAAACTAAACAAGCCCAGTTCATGAAGCCTGGCTTCATAGGTCATGTTCTCTAAACCTTTAATCATCCTTGTCGCTCTTCTCTGTCCCCTTTCCAATTTCTCCACATCTTTCTTGAAATGTGGCGCCCAGAACTGGACACAGTACTCCAGCTGAGGCCTAACTAGTGCAGAGCAGAGCGGCAGAATGACTTCACGAGTTTTGCTTACAACACACCTGTTGATACAACCTAGAATCATATTTGCTTTTTTTGCAACAGCATCACACTGTTGACTCATATTCAACTTGTGGTCCACTATGACCCCTAGATCCCTTTCCGCCATGCTCCTTCCTAGACAGTCGCTTCCCATCTTGTATGTATGGAACTGATTGTTCCTTCCTAAGTGGAGCACTTTGCATTTCTCTTTATTAAACCTCATCCTGTTTACCTCTGACCATTTCTCTAACTTGCTAAGGTCATTTTGAATTATGTCCCTATCCTCCAAAGAAGTTGCAACCCCACCCAGTTTGGTATCATCTGCAAACTTAATAAGCGTACTCTCTATCCCAATATCTACATCATTGATGAAGATATTGAACAGTACGGGTCCCAAAACAGACCCTTGAGGAACTCCACTTGTTATCCCTTTCCAGCAGGATTTAGAACCGTTAACAACAACTCTCTGACTACGGTTATCCAGCCAATTATGCACCCACCTTATCGTGGCCCTATCTAAGTTATATTTGCCTAGTTTATCAATAAGAATATCATGCGAGACCGTATCAAATGCCTTACTAAAGTCTAGGTATATGACATCCACCGCTTCTCCCTTATCCACAAGGCTCGTTATCTTATCAAAGAAAGCTATCAGATTAGTTTGGCATGACTTGTTCTTCACAAACCCATGCTGGCTATTCCCTATCACTTTATTACCTTCCAAGTGTTTGCATATGATTTCCTTAATTACCTGCTCCATTATCTTCCCTGGGACAGACGTTAAACTGACCGGTCTATAATTTCCTGGGTTGTTCTTATTCCCCTTTTTATAGATGGGCACAATATTTGCCCTTTTCCAGTCTTCTGGAATCTCCCCTGTCTGCCATGATTTTTCAAAGATCATAGCTAAAGGCTCAGATACCTCCTCTATCAGCTCCTTGAGTATCCTGGGATGCATTTCATCAGGACCTGGTGACTTGCTGACATCTAACTTTCCTAAGTGATTTTTAACTTGTTCTTTGTGTATCCTATCTTCTAAACTTACCCTCTCTCTGCTTGTATTCACTACGTTAGGCACACCTCCAGACTTCTCGGTGAAGACCGAAACAAAGAAGTCATTGAGCATCTCCGCCATTTCCAAGTTCCCTGTTACTGCTTCTCCCTCCTCACTAAGCAGTGGGCCTACCCTGTCCTTGGTCTTCCTCTTGCTTTTAATGTATTTATAAAAGGTCTTCTTGTTTCCCTTTATGCCTGTAGCTAGTTTGATCTCATTTTGTGCCTTTGCCTTTCTAATCTTGCCCCTGCATTCCCGTGTTGCTTGCCTATATTCATCCTTTGTTAGTTGTCCTAGTTTCCATTTTTTATATGACTCCTTTTTTATTTTGAGATCATGCAAGATCTCCTTGTTAAGCCAAGCTGGTCTTTTGCCATATTTTCTATCTTTCCTACACAGCGGAATTGTTTGCTTTTGGGCCCTTAACAACGTCCCTTTGAAATACTTCCAACTCTCCTCAGTTGTTTTTCCCTTCAGTCTTGCTTCCCATGGGACCTTACCTACAAGTTCTCTGAGCTTATCAAAATCTGCCTTCCTGAAATCCATAACCTCAATTGTGCTGGTCTCCCTTCTACCTTTCCTTAAGATCATGAACTCTATTATTTCATGATCACTGTCCCCTATACTGTCTTCCACTTTCAAGTTCTCAACTAGTTCCTCCCTATTTGTTAAAACCAAATCCAGAACAGCTTCTCCTCTGGTAGCTTTTTCAACCTTCTGAAACAGAAAGTTGTCTCCAATGCAGTCCAGAAACTTATTGGATAGCCTGTGCCCCGCTGTGTTAGTTTCCCAACATATGTCTGGATAGTTGAAGTCCCCCATCACCACCAAATCTTGGGCTTTGGATAGTTTTGTTAATTGTTTAAAAAAGGCCTCATCCACCTCTTCCACCTGGCTAGGTGGCCTGTAGTAGACTCCTAGCATGATATCACCCTCGTTTTTTACCCCTTTTAGCTTAACCCAGAGACTCTCTACACAGCTATCTCCTACGTTCATCTCCACTTCAGTCCAAGTGTGTACATTTTTAATATACAAGGCAACCCCTCCTCCCTTTTTTCCCTGTCTGTCCTTCCTGAGCAAGCCCTATACTCCCCTTGCCCCACACTTCACCCTCCTTTGCTGTGGCCTTCGCTATACACTGCACATTTGTACAGGCAGGAGGGAGCAGGGCACAGACCTCTTGGAAATCCCCGGTGTCGCGTAGCTCTCCAGCTTGTGGGACTTCGCAGTTTCCTCTGAAATCTCTAACATTGGAGGATGCACACGGGCCTAGGAGGATCTTTGCTCTACTCTACTTTGGCAATTCTGTGTCCCTAGCAGGTTGTCATGAGACCTTCATAGGCCTTCGGAGGCATTTTAAGGCTATCGAATGATACAGCAAAAATGGGTCTCTGCCCCATATAACTTACGCTCTGACTAGAAAAGACAGACTAAGGATGAGAGGGTACGTGACCTGCCCCAGGCTGGTGGGAGAACCACAAATAGATTCCACATCTCCTGACTCCCAGCCTGGTGTCCTTTCCGCAACATTTCCTCCCTCCCTCCCCCTGGATGTGCCGTCCGCACAGCACTAGAGAGAGCCAGTAATGGTTGCTGTGCTCTCCCTTCAATGCTAATCCATGAGGAAATTCAATAAGCCAGTAAAAGATTTGTTAGGCTTCAAGTCAATAAAAAGTGAAAAGGCCATTTGATTTGTTTTATGATTGATTATAGAAAGGGCAGATATTTATTAACAGCCAACAGGATAGCTGTCAAAATGATACTATACCAATAAAAAAACCAGAAGGTGAGTCAAACGTTTTCAGCATTGCAGGGAGACCCGGAGCAGCTTTTCTCACCCCAGAGGACGCGGTGGCAGGACCGCTGCGCTCTGGGCGGTCCCGCCGCTCACGAGCTCCGGGGCGAGAAAAGCCCACCAGGGAGACCCGGAGCAGCTTTTCTCACCCCAGAGGACGCGGTGGCAGGACCGCTGCGCTCTGGGCGGTCCCGCCGCTCACGAGCTCCGGGGCGAGAAAAGCCCCGTTCGTAAGTGCGGATCCGACATAAGTCGGATCCACGTAAGTTGGGGACTGCCTGTATAGGCATCTAAGATACTGATTTGATCTTGCCTCCCTGTTGTGCCCTGACCCTCCTTTGTCCTTGCCATTATAGCCCGTAGTCCATAATATTATTCTGTACACTTTATTGGATGAGATCTGAGATGTTTAGATACCACAGTAATGGAAAGAAACTGGATAGATTAAGATTGTAAGTTTTGGATATTGGACTCCTTAGTGCAGGGGTGTCCAAACTTTTTTCAAAGAGGGCCAGATTTGATGAAGTGAACATGCGTGAGGGCCGACCATTTTGCCTGACATTCTTTGAACCATTAAAATTAAATGCAAATTAACTATTTTATGCAAAGTTTATTGCAAACGGCATACTTTTCATTTCGTCACATGGATGACAAATCTAAACAGGTGTTAAATCACTCTGCCTTTCATATCTGAAGGCCAGATGAAAAAACAAATCCAGGAAGCTGAAATATGTCAGGAACATTGTAAAGTACATTACATATTATTGGTAATAAAGGTTGTCTGTCAACTTTTAAGTTCAAAAAATATGAACAGGAACATAACACCAAGTATACATGTTGTGTCCAAATATATTTATAACTGATTTAGACCAACTGACATTAACTGAGATTTTACAATGTATTCATCTCAATACATATGGATTCATTGGGGGCCATAAAAGATAGATATTGCCAAATTACCTGGGGGGCCGTATTAAACCGGAACACGGGCCGCAATTGGCCCGCGGGCCGGACTTTGGACATGCCTGCCTTAGTGAGTAGGGCAAATGTCTGACTATATCTAATATTTTCCTGCTCCTTGTTTTGCTGTACTTATGTCAATTTGTTACCTCTTTCACTTCAGGAGAAGCTGTATTCCAGTGCTGCTGTATATAAATAGCTAAAGTACTTCACATGAAGTAATGCCCATGAAAGTAAACTCTTGCTATCAAGTACTTCAAACAAAGGATACGTCAAGCTTAACCTCTTTGAGCAGCAATCCTGAGTTCTAACTGTGTGGGGCTTTTAAAATTGACTAACTCGTGTTGTGGATCCTCCTCCTTCCCCCTCTCCTCCCCTAGACTTCATGCCAAATGGCCTTTCACTTGTTTGATTGTAACTGTGGTCTAAAATCTAAAAGCCTGTGATGCTCTCAAGATATGTGAATGCATACCAGAGGACATGTTAGTAGCCTGCAATCATATTTAAAATAATTTCATGTATATTATTCAATGCTGACTTTAGAAACTTTCACATAGACAAAACAGTGGTTAATTAGTAAAGTCTGAGTTTAAATTTGCCATTTAAATCTCCCTTGCAGGTTGCAGAGTTACTGATGAAATTCTGCATTTAGTTCCACACAAGGAGAACTTCAGGCTAACTCTTAGAGCAATTAAATTGTGGGCAAAACGTGAGTAACAGTCATTCTTGATCTCTACCCAAAGTTTAATTGTTCTTAAAAAGTTCATGAAAAGTTTAGATAGTTCAAGGCCAAGAGTAACATATCTAATCTTGAGGAATGTATATCACATGGTATAACTCAGGAATCTTTTTAAAATGCCATACTAGCCATATATGTGATCCTGAATAAGAACTATTCTCTTTTATTTCAAAACAAAATTTTATTCAGCCGTACTGTGAATTAAACAGACCTATGCATGACTACACTATTTAGGAGAGGCGACTGTCTCTCTGGGGTTCAAAGTAGCTTAAAGTGTGTGTGTGTGTGTGTGTGTGTGTGTGTGTGTGTCTGCCAGCCAAACATCACCTCTTCACATAGCCCTCTACTTTTTCATGTCTATTTGCACAATGAATTATCAAAACTTAAATAGCATTCTTCTTTGAGTGTCAGCTTCATATTTTCACTTAGTGCCAACCAGTGCAGTTTGGACAATGGAATCTTCTGGTTAGTGCTCCTAAACTTGTCCTATCTCTGATCCCACTGTTTGGCTACAGCTACACTGCAGGCTTTTTGTGCAAGAACAGCTATTCTTGCATGAAAACTTGCCGGGTGTCTACACTGCACATGAGTTATTGCGCAAGTAAATTTAAAGTACAACGTCGGAAAACAGGGCTTCTTCCAGAAGAGTTATTCTCTCCCCACGAGGAATAAGCCCTCTTGAGCAAGAGCTCTTCCACAAGAAGACAGTGTAGACAGGCAACAAGATTTTCTTGCGCAAGAAACCACTATGGCTAAAATGGCCATCGGAGCTTTCTTGCGCAAGAGAGCATCCACACTGCCATGGACGCTCTTGTGCAAAAGCACATGGCAGTGTGGATGTGCTCTTGTGGAAGACCTTTTGCACAAGAACTCTTGCGCAAGAAGCCTGCAATGTAGACGTAGCCTTTGAGTAGATTCAGAGGCTACCTCTGTCACCATCCAACTTCAGCAAGCAGATGATGTGGACTTCTGGATCTCTTGGATTCATATTTAAGTGCCTTGATGGGTTTTTTAAGATTATCTGACAATATTAACTGATGAGTTAAAATTTAGGATAGTTCAGGTATTCAGCCAGACTTGGTGTCAAAAGGTGTCCATGGCAGATCTGAAGATCAAGAAGCCTGGCTTTGCAGACCCATACAAGACATCTTAAATGCTTTGGGAAAGGAACTTCTCTTCACCTTGCACTATAGACTGTTTCTCCTCCAGGCTGGAAAGAGACTAGTTAGACTCTAAGTCCTCTTACTGCAGAGGCTTTGGCTGCCATCCCTCTGGAATTGTAGATGTTGAAGAGATCTAAAGGAAAGGAGGCCAGGATAGGCTGAGTACTTCTGAATCCAAGAAGACTACTGTGGTAAAGGTGTTGGCATCCACATCATGCTCCAGTTCCAAATCAGCTAAGTCTCTTCGGTAGCTTAAGATGTCAAATTTGGTTCCAAAATACTTGAGACCCTCTGACGTTGTGGGAGGCAATACGCTGGGGGACTGTCACCGCTGCCCTGCTAACTTGGGTACATCATAATGCTTTGCTGCTGTAGCTACTACCTTGGCCTCTCAGACTTCTAGCATGCAGGTAATATCCTGAGGAGCTCTGTGTACTAGTGTGTTACCCACACATCAGTCACTCTGTCTTCCTCCAGCATTGGTTAACACTTTCAGAGTGACCCCACACTCTCATGGTCCCAAAGCTTTTCCCAAACACATGTTCTACACTGTCCAGCTCTCTCCTAGACAGTCCAAATATTAAGTTCATTGATCCATTAAGCAGTTTTCTACTTTAAATGGAGTTACCTGCACAGCTAACAACACTGATTTAAAAAATGAAACTTATTTCAAAACAAAGATGTTTAAATTGTATTCACTTAAAGTTAAAATGATTCCTAGTACTAAAACTTAACAATCTAGATTTCGGTTTGAGGTGACATCCTTTACCATGTGTTTCCAGTAACATTGACTGAATTCTGGCCAGAACCTGTTCCCAGAATCCAAAGCCTGCTTCTTTCCTCTTAGGTGAAAGCGAGATGGTTAGAGAAAGACAACATGGGGTGTTTGGGGGCCCCCCTTTTTTTTCTTAAACAGTTGAGTCATCCTTTAAAATGCATTTTCCTAAGGCTTGTACTTAAAGTTCATTTCCACTGAGAGAGGAGACAACAAGTCTGGTGAAAGAGGTTCCATGCTGTCTGCTAACATGCAGGTTGATCTTCCATATTAATACCACTTGACAGGTGATTGCCCGTCAACTGTGACAATACCTGACTAGAGGCATCCGCTTTTCCTTTATCATTAAGAAACTGACTTACCTAGTAAATGCACTTCAAATCTAGCTTATGTTCATAACTTTAGCTGCATAATTTCACTATGATATTCAGGAGCAAGCTATTAGTTGTCTTTACAATGCTGTTTCCATGCTCCGTTTGAGTGTGACGTCCTGTTCATTTTGTAAGAGAATGCTAGATTGAATCAAGTGGTCAGATTGCCCTATACTACCTTGGGCATTCTGGCTGATGCCTAGTTTCCCTGTCCATGCTCAAAAGCCAGATCAAGGGATCGATGTCAGGTCTGTAGAGCTAATCTGATCCTCAACATTTGGAACAGATGTTCAGAACACTTTCCCACTTCAGGGCCTGGTACACTTTCTGAAGGAGGATCCCTCTCCTCAAGTGGACTTTCAGCAAAAAACAAGAGTTGTTACAGCAGCAAAAGGGAGATGTCAGCATCCAAGGACAGAGTCTAGCAACATAGACTATAAGGATACATCTGGCTATGATTATCTATGCCTTCCACTTGGCCTTGGGAAGGGGGGAAAATCAGTGGCTGACTTTCTCCCCCCCGTCCGCCCCACAATGGCCTGCCTATGCAACAAATGGTTCCCTAATTGGACCTCAACTTAGTTCTGACCAAGCTCATGGGCCCCTGGGTTTGAATCTATGGCCACCTGCCCTCTCTCTCCTTTTTTATTTATCACTGTTTTCCTAGTAGCTGTAACATCAACTAGAAGGGTCGCTGAGCTAAGAGCACTTCTGTCTGAATCCTCCATATACCATTGTTTGCAGAGACAACGGTCCCACTGCGTCCTCCTGCATTCCTGACTAAGGGTGTCTGTTTCATTTGAATCAGGACATACTTCAGCCAGTATTCTTCCCTAAACCCCACACTACTAACAGACAACACATGCTTCATTCCCTAGATGTTAGGTGTGCCCAGCATCCTACATTGAAGGCACAGCCATTTCACAAATCATCACAATTCTGTATTGCCATTGCTGAGAGGACTCTCTCTTCACAGCACATTTCATCATGGATTATATCCTGCATCTGGATGGGCTATGACTTAACAAATGTGTCACCTCCACCACTGACAGCAGATTCCACAAGGGCTCGGCCATCATCTGTGGCCTTCCTCACTCATGTCCATGTCCAAAACCTCTGCAAAGCAACAACGTGGCCTTCAATTCATAATGTCCCATCCCACTAGGCCATCACCCAGTAAGCCAGGGACAACACGGCATTTGGCATTTTGCAATCAGCAGCCAAGTGAACACTGACCCTTCCCTCCCAAGGAAACTGCTTGGGAGTCACCTACTGGAATAGACATGAGCAAGAACTTAAGGGGGAAAATGGTCACTGACCTCTTGTAACTGTTCTTTGAGGTATTGCTTGTGTCCATTCCAAATTGCACCTGCCTCCCCTTCATCAGAGTACTCTGGCCAGAAGGAACAGAGCAAGTGGAGGGGCAG